GTCATTTCTTTCTGTCTTCTTTATCTGTCTTTATCTTGCCCGTATGTTTCCTCCATCCCTGCATCTTCTACCTCTGCCACGCCTAGGCGTCGGTCACTTTTGTCTCTTTCTCTCCCCCATCTCCTTCTTGTCTCTTTTCTTTTCTTTCTTCACCAGTCTCCCTTCTCAGCCTTTCTCCTCGGATAGTTTCTTTCTTTCTCCCTCCTAAAATCCACATGTAGAATCCACATTGTGCCAGTTATTCGTGTTTGAAGCAAGAGCTTTTTGCCTTGTTCTTAACTTAGGTAGCAGGTGAGTTGCTCTCCGTTGGCCCCTTTTCCTTGGAGTCAGCGGTCCTGTCGGAGACCATGCTCCCTGCAGCTGCCAGAGACCTCCGCCCAGTCAGGTCTCCAGGAGTCACTTCGTTGAGCAACTTAAGGGTTTGCACAAGTTTCAGATCTTCCCAGTCCTGGAGTCCCGAAGACCAGAGAAGACATGTTATTCTCCTCTGAGATTTCCTGTATTTCTTATTCTTCCGTGAGATTTCCCTTATGCCATTCTTCTATGGGCTTTCCTGGTTAACATGCATCATCAGTCTTTAACAGAAACGCCGGCTTATAAACTCTCCACAGACGTGCCATGGTTGAGCATTGGTGAGCACAGACCCTTAACAAGGCAGCCTGGAGAAGGAAGGTTTCTGACTGATAGAAGACTGGGTTCTAGTCCCGTCTGCTGGCTACTTGGGACGCTCAGGCAATCAGCTCAATTTGTGATCCTCAGTTTCCAGCCTCAGTCAAATGGAGTGATGTTTCCATGCCTACCTTTTAGTGGCGTTAAAAGATAAACTGAGGCATATTAAACATTTCAAGAGTTTATTTGAGCAAAAATCGATTCAAATTGGGCAACACCCATTTCCCAGTGGTTGGGAACACTCTGATGATAGGAGCTGGGGAGAGATTTACATAAAGAAAAGTGCAGAAGCAAAGAAAGGAATAATTGATTGGCACTAGCGTGAAGCCTAGTTGGCTGTTTGTGCTGGGTTGTCCTTAGTGTTTTGAATTCATTAACCTTGAGGCATTTACAGGCTTACATTTCAGTTTGCTTACATAGACTGCCACCTCAGACTGATGGCCTCCTTGTCTGGTTAATTGAACAGCGGATTAAGTGTGATCATCTGTGTGAAAACACCTCAAAAGTTAACAGTGGCCCACTAAAGCAAGGTAATCCTAATACCTACAATGTTACATAAAATACTGCCAAGATACCTTCAGGGGAAAACAGTAATTCATCTAATTAACAAAAGCGTTATTTGGTATGCTAAATAGCAAAACTGATTTATGAATATGTTAGTTGTTTTCATTTACTAAACATTTAAGAAATCCAAGTTCAGTCAAATGGTGAGAAGTGTCATTAAATGCACTTAAGAAGCTGTAAACATTGTCTGTATCAGTCCAGAGGCAGAAAACACATCAGTTGATTGAACATGGAAAATTAATATAGAGAATTATTAAATTGGTAAAAGGGGATCAACTACTAGGGAGTAAGGGTAACTCTAAAGCATGGATCAGCAACCTGTGGCCCGTGGGCCAAATCTGGCTGTTGTACTGCCCCTCCCCCTGCCATGCCAGTTTTATTGAGATGTTGACGTACACCACTGGGTTGCCTGTTTTTGTAAATAGAGTTTGATTGTAACACTGCTGTGCCCATTTGTTGACTATGGCTCCTTTTGCTCTGCAGCAGCAGAGTTTACTAGTTATGACAGAAACTGTAAGTCAGCCAAAATATTTGCTCTCCGGCTCTTCACAGAAAACATTTGCCAACCCCTGCTCTAAGAATACAAGCCTAGTCTATCCAGGGAGCAGAGACCCAAGGAAAGCACAAACTTGGAAGAGCCCCCCAACCCCCGCCTGCCCCCCCCCCCCAAACCCGCCCCCAA